ATTTATGTTTATTTACATTCTCGTGCGCCTACATCACATATTGGATGAGTGCATAAGTTCGTGCCCGATTTCCAGTGCAAACTAAAATTGAAATTTTTTGAAGAAAGCGCTTTTATTAATCAATTATGTATTCGCCATCATGTTCGGCAATCCACTTCCAACGTTCAACCATTTTTTTTTAATTTACGGAAGCCTGATTCATAGAAATCGCGCGGTTTCTCGTTGAAAAAGGTGTCAAGGTGGTTTTGGACGTCTTCCACATTTTTAAATTTTTTTCTATTCAAATTGTTCTGCAGCGATCGAAACAAATGATAATCAGAAGGTGCAATGTCGGGTGAATATGGGGAATGCGGCATGATTTCCCAATTCAGTACACAGCAGTACCTGCATCGGATGCAATCCACCTCGTCATCAAGCTCAGAAGGCCGTCCACTGCGAGGTTGATCTTTGAGGTTAAAATCTCCAGAACGAAATTTCGCGAACCATTTCTTTACTGTGCGGAATGCTGGAGCACGGTCCAAAAAAACTTCGCGAATATCTTTAGTTGCAGCGTCTACTGTTTTTCCTTTGCGGAACTCGTATGACATAATTTGACACATATGATCTTTTTCGTTGTCCATCTTCCATGCGTCTCTTCACTAAGCAACTCAAATCAAAATGAAGTTAGGACTGTCACCTTTCCAACGATATATAATATGTATATATTTCTTTTACGAGCGCCACTCTCAAACGATTCGAACGGCATCCAGCGGAATCGGGCACGAACTTATGCACTCATCCAATACATATGCATGTATGTATATAAAAGTGTTTTGTTATACTTAATCACTTTATGTGTTTGTTTGTATGTATTTGCATATTCATTAAAAATATATAGAGTAATTAAAGTTTTATAATGAGCCCAAAGGAATATACACGATGTATCAGCAAGATTACGAGGCTAGTAAATGTGACAAATATACATCTACGTATGTATGTGTGTAAATATCATTTGTTTTATATTGACATATAATAAAGATACAGAGCATTGAGTTTTAAATAGATTTCTTTTTGTTAGTACCATATCAGGCACTTAGTATATTTTAAAATTTTTTTTTATTATTCCATAGCTTCGATTCACGTATTTTGCCTATGGAAAAAAGGGAAATGTGAATCCATAGTTTTTTTATTGCTACTACGGTTGGTTTGTAGCTTACTCATACTCATACATATTTTTGAAAATATAGTAAATGAAATATTTAAAAAATGTTTTCGAAACGCACACAATACCCTCGAATTAAAATATTTTAACTTTTAATCACGAAATTAAAGACCTTTCTTTTATAGCAACAACAAAATATGCTTACACTAAAGCTGGCAGAACTTTTCACAGCTCACAATCTGATTTTGAAATGGTCTCAGTCGCCTCGATCGCCGAAACAAGTCAGGAGTTAGAAAAAAAAAATTTTAATAAAAAAAAAATCGATTTTTTTTCAATAGTTTATATTGAATCGCTAATTGAGAAGCTTGAAAAAAAATTATAATAACTTCGGCCATATATACACACATATATATATATATATAAATAAAAAAAAACGAACGAACTTTTTATTTCACCTACTATATATAAATAAAGGGATTTCCAATGGGAGGTGTTACTTTGAATAGCCTCGTATTCTAGTAGATGTCACTTTCAAAGCTTCCATCTCGATGGCCAGATCGCATTTGTGACTCGAAAAACTCAAGATTTATTGCCGAAAGCCTCCCCATTCTCAACGTGCAACCGTTTGGTGTGGTTTATGGTCCGGACGGTGTTATTGAACCTTACTTTTTCGAAAACTAGGCTGGAGCGATAGTTACGGTGAATAGATTCCGCTATCGAAAGATGACGTATGATTTTTCATAGCCGGAATTGTATGCTATTGATCTGGAAAACATTTACTTTCAACAATATGGCGCTGCGTACCACACAGGCAACGAAATCAGCGATCTTTTAAGAGAAAAACTTCCGGACTGTGCTATCTCTCGAAGATGTTATCGTAATCGGCCACCGATATATTGTGATTTAACACTTTGAGACTGCTTACTTTGGAGCAACGTGACAGATAAGAACTACCTCAACAGGCCAACATCGATTCAAGACCTCCAAGATGGAATTCGTGAAGCTATTGAGCAGCCATTTTGTGATGTGGAGAGGTAAAATTTCACATAAAGAATCCTGTAAGCGTAATAGGGGCGTTCATTAGACTAATATTTTTTTCCATTAATAATGGCATATCTTCCACTTTATATTGAAAAAACATCTTATAATTTATCTGGAAAAATGCTATTTTCCTTTGAATATAAAAAAAAAACACCACTTATTGGAAAACCTTGTACAACATGGTGATGGTATTTACTTTTGGTATTAAATATTAATTTTCATGTCCGAAAAATCTCTAGTACATGGTCTTATTTCAAATAAGTACTCCGATTTCGATGATTTTGAGTGTCAATATATATCACGTCCTCAAATCTTAACCCATTCGTGGTATGGTGGCTATATGATATAATGGCCTGATGCCGGCAGTTCGGTCAAATGTTGAAAAGCGTTCAAATATTAAAAAAAACTGAGGTACCAGTTCGCGTTCAAACAGACGAGCACACCACGCGCCAAATCAACTCAGCTCGTCGCTCCAAGTGGATCGGTATAAATTTCGGCGGGTCTCTCTCTTCTCTTTCTGGTACTTCCACACTTCGGACCAAAGTTAATGGACCGTTTCATTTTCATGAGAGATATATAAATTTAAATGTCAAAAAGCAGCATTCCTAAATTATAAAGTAAATAGTAATATTAAGGCTTTATATACAATATATATATTTGCTATTGGTGGAAATATTTCCATAACACACTGTGACTGCTGCAACGAAAAATGCCCAAAATTAATGTAAAAATTTTGCAAAGAGTTTTTGATTAAAGTAGCAGAGGCATCTCTGGAAAGTGGACCAGGGACTGGACTATTGAAATGGTTTGGTTATATTTGAAACTCGTTAGCTTTTAGCTTAAAATAACGAAAATTCTACTCTGCTTTCCGTGATCTGAACCAGAGATCAATCAATTCGAGAAAACGGGTACGATTTATATTTTTTTGAATTAATTTTTTTTTTTAAGTGAAGTGTTTCAATTTATTAAAAAAATACACATATGTATTCTAGGTTCGTTTTAATTATATTTTTGGATGATGGATTTTGGATGAGATTAGACATGCGTTTGAGCCGTGCTTTGCGTGATAAGCGCCCAGAATCGACCGAAAGCCAGGGACAATAAGGTGATTTTGAAACATGTCGTAGTTCAGTACCACGTGGCTGTCATGGTCAAAAACTACCTGGAAATGCTGAAATGGCAGTGTAATGCCACCCGCACTTCTTTTTGACTGTTGAGGAGTCAACGGTACCGGTTTTTTGAAGAAGTCAAAGTATGGCTCAATGATTGCATTGAACACAGAGAGTATGGTACTCGAAAATTACCGGAGAGGTGGGGAAAGAGTAGTTGCTTCCGGCGCATAAAATTTTGAATAATATTTTTTTACATTTTTTTAAGAAAAAAACAAATTTTTTTGTATACAAAAAGTGGACAGAATTAATTTGTACACCCAATAGAAAAAGTTTCTTCCCTAAGCTAGAAGTGTCAGCTGCTCTTAGTGTATTTCTTATATATGAAAATAATATATAACTAATCATAGAAATTCATAAGAATTCATAGAAATGTTCATTAGATACTCGGAGGCGGCTTAGAATAAGCGGAAAGTACGCCGAATTGTTGGAAAAACAGCAAGACGTACACCAAAAGTTAAAGATGAAAGCTGTTGGTGGTACCAACTCGATTACAAAAAAAAAAAAAATAATGAAAAATTCCACTTTCACTAAATTTCCTATTTTTCTATTTAAAATTAATTAAAGTGATTTTTAGTTATTTAATTTTTTTGCAATTTTTTAATTTAAAAATAAAGGCTTCAAGTCTTGAGCACATTGGACTTTCAATTTCATATACACATTTAACGACTGTCAACGATTATTGCGCATAAGTGGAATTTAAAATAAATTAAATTAAAGTTTTCCATTTTATCTTTTTATTACATGCTCCTATGTGTACCTATGTATTCAAGAGGTTGACACAAGTGAATCCCTGCTTGACTTGCGCTTCTTATATCTTTATAATATTTGCTTGTTAATAACTTAAATATCTAAACTGTCATTTGACACCGTAAATTTTCCCATAAACTTATGTGTGTTTATGTGCCGCCGTAAGAGCAATAAAGTGACTCGTGCGCTGCGAGCTTCTTAATCCCAAGCGAGTGTAATCGAGATAACCCGCGCACTAATAATAACGTCTATTATATTCCTGATGCTATTATCAATATTAAATTCATTTCTTTACACTTTTCCACTTGATTGCGTTGTTTACATTTGCTATTACTACAATACATTAAAGTCCAGTCATTTGCAGGCATATACACAGATATACAGACATATATGTAAACATCTATTTGAGACTAACTGAACTTATTTTGATTAGAGTTACCATGTTGAAGCTCTACGTACTATGCGTGTATGTGTGTGTGTGTGTGTGTGTGTGTAAAATAAAAAAAAAACATTTCGCACACATCAACACCCTCGCAAAGAATACATACCTATATATATGTATACACATACAAACGCCTACCCAAAAGAATCAACAAAATCAAAAAGAGTCATAACGGAATCAGCTCAGCTGTTCGGTAGCCCTCAGCACTATAATGTCCAACGCCTTCACCAACAACAACAACAACAACAACACGATAACGCTATTTTCCTGATTAATCACCGCCGCCTTCACCTCGCCCTCTGTTAGTCTTTGCTCTGTCTACCGCCGCAATACTTTCAAATAACAAAAACTTGTCAGTTGTCTGTAAGTATGTTTGTTTATTTTTGTGCGCGTGTGACGTGCAGGAGTAGTAAGTACGAGTACAAAACGTTTATCACCAAAACGTTGAGTCCCTAGTAGGCCTTTAAGTTAGTTGGTTTGGAAATCTCGTTGACATCGGTTGTATGGTGATGCGCGTTTAGGATCACCTTAAGAAAAACAAAAAAAAAAAAAAAATAGTTAACGAAATTTGGAAAATAAATTTTTTTTTGCGATCTTTGAATTGAAACTGAGGCTTTAATTGGCGTCAGGGCGATAGCTTGTGGTCAATATGGTGGAAAAAGCGCTGATGAAGCGTCCCGCTTCGAGTACGCCACCCAGTTTGGGTGTTTATCATTATTACCATTCGGACTTTTACTACTCCATGCCGAATATAAGCAGTGAGTATGATTTTTTTCAATTTCAATTTCAATTTTATTTGTTTCCATTTTTTTAACTCGTGTTGTTGTAAAAATACTTGTTTGCTGTTTTGAACAAGAAAGGCATATGTCGCATATTTTTCTTGACACTTTGAGTGATTTGCGTAAACATGTGTTTAAAGCATATAAAAATGTTTTCATTAATCCAAGAATGGCTAAAGTAAAACAAATATTTTTATAAATACAACAACAACAACAACAACAACAACAACAACAATAAATATTTTTTATTATCCAGTGACACTTCGAAAAATAATAAATCATAATTCCAAGGATAATCGCCATCTAAGACAGCTACAAATTCTAAAATTTACGGCATAGTCGAGTCTAGATCTAAAGCCGTCGCCTCTCCAGAGGGAATTTCAATGTCTACAAATCCATTTCTAACAAGAAAAATAATAATTTCCCAAAAAATCCAACAACTTTTCGGAGGCGGCTTAAAAATGTGGCTCTTTCCACTTGTGGAAAATGTTAAGAGATCAGATACAGGCTTTAATCATTTCGGTCTCACTTACGGGTAACTACGTTTTGCATAGGGACTGATGCAAAAACGAGGAGAACTGATTTATTATGCTATTAAAACCAGGTTATAACCGCCAGTTGGTAGATCTGGTCTGCAGTCCTGATTTGTTCCGTTGTTCCTCCTTGGATTATAACGCTGAGGACACTATTAAACAATCCAAAGGGGTGGTCCGTCTATAAATTGTAGACGCTATGAGGCTTTCTCGTTGTCGTATCTGTTGCATGTGAGTTCTCAGAGTCCTCTGGGGTAATTTAATTTTGTTCCCATTTACTCTCATCTGCAAATACAGCACAGATCTTTTTCTTGCTTATGCAACTACGATTAAAGCTGAGATAACCACAGCACGTCAACGGGTTTTTCTTTTTAGCATTTGGCGCCAACTGGAGAAGGCAAGTTCTTCTCAACCAAGTTTTTTTCCCAAAAGAGTGTTGCTTACCTACTCTTTCCACCGGCGGGTACGGTATCGAATATTCTCTAAGCTGGAGTGTTTTCACAGATTGGGTCAACAAGACTTAGCCGGTATAGTCGCTGTGACTTGATTCGCTGAATGTGGCCAATTTTGTTGTATATCTCGTAAAGCTTATTTATAGTTCCATCTCCTGTGTAAATCTTTTCCAAACCCATTTCACTCAAAAACTCCTAAAACGAGCAACGACACATGTGGGAATCGTCTTAAACTCGGTTCTACATAACAGAACGGGATTTCTAAGCTCTTTATGGAGTTTGATTTTGGTTCGTCGAGCCAAGCCAGTGCAAAGTAGTATCTGTTATATTTACCCACGGGAAGCCAGGCCGGTCGTAAAAGGCGACTAAAATCCAATCCAAAATCCCGCGACAGTCGGGCCTTTATACCGGCACAATGGGGATTTTTATCCGGAAAGGACTGTCACTCCCGCAGAGCTTTTACTGTTAACGTTGACTTGGGAGTCAAGTTGGGGACTCGCTGTCTGCTTATTGGGCGTCAGAAGATATTTTGTTCTATCCTCGTTCCCTAACAGACCCATTCGTATCTGTTGTTTTACCAGTTGTAGCCAAAAATATCAATATCATCGCCATATGCCAGCCATTGTATGCACTTATAGATGGTTGCACCTACTCTGTTAAACTCTGAAGCTCATACTTTTTCTCCTGTTTTAAATTAAAGAAATAAGACAACAAAGAGTAGCTCTCTATCTACCTGAAACCTCGTTTAGCGTCTAATGATACTGGTAGGTTCATCCAACGAACGTTTACATAATAATTTCATGGGAATAACGAATTCAGGCGTATAGGCAGGTTCTGCTGTTAAAGAATACTTTGAAATAGACAAAGAGATGCTGAGTGTCGTTCACCTGGAAATGCATTGCTGCTCTTTCCAACTCCCCCTTGTATTTGAAATGTTGAAAAAACACGAATGGAAGAAGAGAGAAAACCTGCTAGCTGCTTGTTGTGATTGCAGTTTTCCGACCTAGAGCCCTCATTTTATTTGTTGACAGATATTCTTCGCTGCAAAAAAAAAATAGCAATCCTAGTGGATTTTAATTCTTCAGAGCATTTGTACATCTTGGACACTGGAGTCATAACTTCCGTGCGTCCGACAGCTAAGTAGCTTAATGAATTTTATTGTGTCGGAATCTGGTGATACATACTAATATCTATTTCAAGTGACGACAAACAGACTTTAGCCCAATAAGGGATATCTCGTCACGGAATCTGCATCTTTTAACTGTCTTTGCCCATGCTGGGGTTAAAATAGCCAACCAAGATTTTGATATTGTGACGGCGGCAGATAGATACATTCTAGGTGTTCGACGAAAGCATCTTTGGTCACCTTGTCCAACTATTCCGAAGGCCGCAAATTTGCATTATGTTAAAAAATTTCGCTTTGATGCGGATTGTGGCAAGCTGTTCGTCCACTATTGAGAATATCTTGAATCGGCGGCGGAGTCTCTCCCCCACCACCAATTAGTACCTTTTCCTTTGGATAACCACTGTAATAACAGTCGCAAAGATCTATCTTCTGTCGTTCTTTTCCCGCTCATCCCGCTTACTTCAAGATAAAGCCGACGCTCGTTACTAGCCGACTCTATGGTGAATATACACTGCTATTAGATTTTTTAACTGTGACCCAAGAATCCATGTAATCAAAACGAAATGAAATCGTTAACCTTAATTTTAAAATGGCTGCCTGCTGTGATTTAACAGCACACTTCTATATTAACCTTTAACATTATCTGTTAACCAATTAACATTGACGACAGCTTTTTGTTTTGGGTAAAAATGACTCTATTTTGATAACAGCTTTAACGTTAATATTTCCAAATGATTAAACTGAATTTATTGGAATTTTTCGATTAACGTGAAATTTTTCGTTACGAGCAGTCTTGATATAAATATATATACAAAAGAAATCGTAGTTAAAAATGTATTTAAATTGTAATTAAATTTTAAAATTAATAGAAATTCAGAGAAAAAATATTTATTTAATTAAAAAATATTTTATAGGTATGCATATTTATTTACAGTCAGAGAAGTCTATTATTTATAAATTATTATTATTATTTTTATTTATTTTTTTTTTGTTTTATATTTACGAAAATTATTAAATTACATACAATATTTATTTTCTTCCTTACATTTATTTAGTTTGTAGTTAAAAAGATATTTTTTGTTATAAGATCTTTTAAAAATATTCAGCCTTCTCATCGGAAATATTCCACCGCAGGGGTGTATTCGTGCAATAGCAGCCAACTTCAATGAAAACAAGCGGGTTGTTTTCTCATAGACAGCCGTCAATTAAAATTTGACTTTTCATTTTATTGTTTTCTTCGTTATTTGTTTCAGCAGAGAATGTAAATACAATACAATGTATTTACATTCTCCGGGTTTGTTTTGGTTTTTCACGAGCGTAATGAAAACAAAAAGAGAAGAGCAAAGAGTAGAGAGCGACAAATAAACACAGATCAAACAAATACAGTGGATGATTTTGTATTTGAGCAAATTAAGCGTAAAATATTTTATTGTTTCTAAACATACATATGTATGTACACGTATTTTGCTTGCTTGCTCTTTTTGTTATTTGCTATACAATGCGAGAAATTTTCTTTACTTTTAGTTTTATACTTAGGTACCAGTGCCATATAGCAATATAGTTATGAACATGTACATACATATATAAAGTATTTTAATGAAAAGAGAGACATATTTCGTCTTTTACATTGCTCATACATACACACTCGTATACAAATTTATTGGCTTGGCCTGAGCATATGTATGATAAAAAAATACGAACAGTTGTTGTGATTTTACGGCTGTGAACGGGTCATGTTTGCACCGAATCAATGTTGGTGTAAACGACGACGACGGACTTGTAACGCAACGCAATGCGAATGCATTGATGTGCAAGAACAAACTTGTCAATTTTCACGGAACTAACTAGACCAGGTGCTACTAGATGTGTTGTGATAAAATGTGGTTCTGTGTGTGATATTTTATAATTATCATTATGGCTATACAAATATATATACGTGTATGTACATTTGTCTATCTTTCTATTATCAAACGGAAATGAAAAGCTAATTGTAATGGTGTATTCAACAACAAAGACCAGTGCAATGATAAGTCTGCGGCGTACGTGAGTGGCCAAACTTCCGTGCTAAAGGGACATTTATCTCTAAGTATATGAAAAGTAAATGCGTATTAAATGATTGGTGAACGTACTAAATATAATATAATTAAATAAATGCACATATATTCAATGAAAATTCATATACAAACATACACATCACAAAGAGACAGACAGATGTTGCATGTGAGTTTATTATGAATGCAACGAAACACATATGAACATATGAACCTACATGCATATATTACAAGAGATAAGGCAAGAGAAAGGTTTATGGCATAGAACATTACAAACAAACAAAATTTAAATAATATTTATAATTGTAAACGGGTAGTTTTTTTATAACTTAAACAATAACGTCGCAAATTTTTAAGTCATAAGTCGCCACGTGCTAGCAAAAAATATAAAAAAATGACTTATGTACACATATGTATGTATCTACATGTTTAGTGAATTAAAAAAGTGCTATTTATAAACATAAAACTGAAATAATAACCACTAAAAACGTTTGTTTAGAAGAATAGTTTTTAGTTTGAAACACATGACTGGAAAAAATTAAAAAAAAATAAACATTTAATCACATTCCCAGGCAGGACAAATATAAACCTACGAAAATTAACAAACAAAAGAATATCATTGCGCCACATACATAGTACACACATCCTCTAGCTTTTGTTTGTATTTCAATAATTCGTTCACATCAATAAAAAAAAAACAACAAGTAAAATAGCACACCACGTTGGGTTTCTTCAAAAAAAAAAAAAAAAAAAAAAACAAACGTTTAAAAAAAAAAAAAAAAAAAAAAAAAACAACAAATA